TGCTCCTGGCATGTGAGCGACACTTGGCGCACGGGGCGCAGAGCAGGGGCAGTGGCTGAAGAACGCACGGGGGTGCTGGGGAGGCCCCTGCCGAGCCCTGCCGCACCACAGCTCAGCCGCCTCTCTTATACGGATCTCAAGCTCGGCAGGAGAGGGAGGATGGTGTCCCGAGCAGGGGATGGGGCAGGCAGCCTCCTAAGGGCCCTCCCAGCCCTGCGTTTCCAGCCAGTTCTCTGAGGAATCGTGCCATAGCTGTGCTCCCCGTCAGGAGGAGTCCTGCACGAGCACAGCTTCAAGAACTCTCCCTCCTGTGCCGCTAACTTTGCCAAACCCTGGAGTCCTAGAGCAGAGTGTAGGATCATCCTGGAGCAATCACCGGACAGAGGAGTCTTGCCCCAGATCTCACATGGCAGCTGCTGCAACTGAGCTCGGTAGAAGATCTGGCCCTGGGCATTCAGCTACATTAGCAACAAGCTTCCTCACTTAACACAAAGCAACATCAACGGTACACATGCTTAGACCCGATTTTCAAATCCAACAACTTGGCCAAATCCAAACCTCTGCTTCTCCCTGACAAAGCCTTGACATGCCCATCTGCTTGTTGCGAGCTCATCCCATGCCAGATTTCAGCTGCCAGACTCCTCCTCCTTGGCACTAGCACTCAAAAATAATCACAGGTCTATCGTTGACTGATACTTTTTCTATTTTCTCGTGTACTCAGAAGCTTGATTGGCCTTGGGTGCAAACCAAACCTAGAGGGCTTCAGTCCAGAGGATGAACGTTTCTGAACAGAAACACCTGAAAACAGGAATGCAGAATGGGGCAGTCCCAGGTCAGTGGTCCTTGCTGCTCCTGCTCTATTGCCTTTATGGAAATCAGTGTTAGACTCTCTCCTGGGATATCCTCTTCAGATTCAGCCGCTCAATCTCAAATAGCAAAGAGCCCCAGAGAAGATTAGGTGGACACTCTTGTTTGCACTTTCTCAGATATGAAAACCAGGGGAGAGCACGACACGCAAACACTGCACAACTCAAACGTTTGTACAGAACACAAAGCCAAGCTGTGGAAATCAAAGCCACAAGGTATGGTGACCAAGCTCTTATTAGGATATACAGAGGTGTATATAAAAAGATTAGACAAATACATACATAACATCTGCATTTATACTGGCTATAATAAAAAAGTAGAAAGGATAGAAAAAAATAATCACACTTCAGAGCATTAAACCAACCTGTAGCTGCCAAGGGTTAAGAACCTTCCCCTGTGGGGAAGGGGCTTTTTGCCCCTGCTTCTGAAGCATCTGGCAACAGCCACTATGACAGGCAGGCAGGACACCAGACTAGATGGACTTGGAGTCCAATCTGCACTGCGGCTTACCGACTCTAACCCAGTTTGGCCGGCGAACGTGGATGTGGCCAGTCGATGCTGGGGTGGGGGCAAGCCTGGCAGTGCAGACTGAACTAGCAGGGGAAGAACCTGGCAAGGACGAAGCGAGAGCTATGGCAAGAGAACCACTCTACGGTAAGTGGAGCTGCCCCCGGACTATTAGAAAAGCCCCTGAGAAGAGTGTTTGGAAGCAGTCAGGGTTACGTGGAGAGGGTCCCCCGAGGTGCGTGAGGACCCAGCTCCTCCTCCATTGCATTTACACAGAGGTTGGAAACACGGTTTGTCTCTAGCTTGCGCTTGAGAAAGAACGGAGGCGCTGGCACAAGGAGGGGTCAGACGTACTCCCTAGCTGTAGAGGGCTGAGACTGCCTGTAGTACTGCTGTCCTCTCCTCTCCTCGGCAGGGCACGAGCAGCACAGGAAGGAGCCTCCCAGCATGGTCACGCTGGCAGCTGCCCAGCCAACAAACAAAGCAGAGCCAAATTCATACCTGGAGCGAGAGAGAAAAGAGACCTGCTGATGCTTGTGCAAGAGTGCTTGAGGGACAGCGGGGAGCAGAGCGCCTGCTTCTCGGCTGAGCGGGAGAGGGGAGGACCCTCGTGCCCACACAAAGACGTGTACTCACATTAAATGCCTGGGCACCAGTATGGGTCCAGGGCTGGCTACTGCTGTAGACGCCAGCCTGTGCCTTAGCAATGACCAAGATGGATACCAGAAAAAATCCAGAATACGTTTTAGAGCACAAACCTTTGCTGCCGGGGGCTAGGAAGAACCTTCCCCAGTACGGCATCTTCCTCAGGTCACCTGAGAAGGAATGTCTCACCTTTGACAGCTTGTTTAACTTTATCCCAACTCCATGGTTGGTCCAATAAGAGAGACCACCTAAGAAATCCTCGTGCAAAACACCACTCTTGCACTACCAGGCAGGCATGATATTCTGCCCCTTCCTCAGCAGCTAATAATGGCCCATTTCCCAGACAGGGCATTGGACTAGACGGGCCTTAGGCCTGATAAACGCTTGCAATTCAGGTATCAGGAAAGGTTTCAGGAGAGACGGAGCCACTGCAGAAAACAGTGACACGAAAGTCCCCCTAGAGAAGCACAGCTAATCTCTCTGGGGACCGAGCAAAACCACGAGCACAGGGTGATGGGAATGGCAAGCAAGGCTGAGGGCACTGGCCTGAGAAAACAGGGGATGCAGAGGGCAAGGAGCCGGCAGAAGCAGAACAGTTCTTGTGCTTGCTTAGCCATGATGAAGCCTCGCGTAAAATGAATCGTGTGATCCCAGCGTGTGCTCCTACCAGCGGCGGGGGGTCAGACTAGATGATCTGTTCAGGTCCCTTCTGACCCCTAACTACTATGAAACTATGAAATGAGCTAAGACTAGAGAGCTCAGTTCTGTTACCGTTACGTCGGGAAGGTGGTAACCTGCTCCTGCTCCTGTGATCAGTGGAACTGCCTGCGTAGAAAGGGGCTGCCCAGCACAGCAGAATCGGGC